ATTTTAATTAGTGAGTAGCCATGCCTTCAATACAAATGAAAATTTCTAGTCATGTGATTGGTTTTTCAATTTAACAGTTCCACTCAGGGGTGTAAAAAGCCAGCCCAGGCCCAAGGATCAATAATATCATTGTGCCCCCTTTCATTATATTTTATTAAATTTTGCTGATTTTTCATAAAAGAAATTTAGGTGACAAATTTTTTATGAATCCATGAAAAAGTAGTAGCCATTTTAGCTAATTAAGTAGTATACATATCTAGTGAGCTTTGGAATATCCCACTGCCAGGCCCCTCAACAAACCCCAACTATAATCTCATTAGAAAAAATATGTTTCTTTGAATAAACTAAACTCAATTTCACAAAATGAAAATTGGGATAGCAACCACGGTCAGCAGAATTAATACTAAAGTTAGAGATTAGAGGAAAAAACTGTACCAGAGTTGAAACCAACCTGTTCAAAAACAACTCTTACATCCAGTTTCTTTCATATATTAAAAAAATAATTATTACAAACTATATTTGGCCTATTACAAAAAAGGTGCCATAAAAAAAAATTGACCTTTTATCACCTAGTTGGTCATACGCAGATATTGGCTTTTATAAATTCTCATCATGAAAATCAGCCTGTTAAGAAATAGTGATTCAAAAGAGGTAGCAGTTTTAATAAGTATAAAATTGTTTTAAAACTGTTTCAAAACTTGTTTAAATCTTTTAATAATGGAAGAAAAAATTACATATTAATTTCCCGTTGAAGAACTGTTGTTTCCGACAAGTTTGCATGAAATCTTTGACAAGAAAAATTTTTATATTTGAACACAGCTAATTAGAAACCTTAGTAATTTTTTTTCTTCCATGTAATACATTTTAAAAATAATTTCAGTTTATATCGAACACAACACACCAAATATATTTATATGTTACATGTAAGATTAAAGTCTCTCAAAAATATTTTCAAATATTTGACTGTCACTTTAAACTAATAAAATTTGATAGTTCTACCATACATCAATAAACAAGCATTTTTCTTCATCAGCCAAAAACAATATTATACAAATTGTACAAATGGTTAATATTCTGCATAATAAGACATTTTTGTAATTCTCATTAAGTTTTTTTTTTTATTTCAAACTTTTTGGCTTAGTGGAATAATTCAATGATATATATATTTGTTAATATGCCAATTTATCACAAAGCAAAACATTTTAACAATCATAAGTAGTCATGGAAAGTCTAGATAAAATTTCCAAAAACAGTATTATGCTAAAACTAAAAGCCAATGAACAATGTTGGAAAAAAAAGAAAAAAAAAAGGGTAGCAGTTAAAAGTTCAGAGGCAGAAACCCAAAAACTTTTATTAAAACAAACATTTTTTTTTCTAAGATGAAGTGATTAATCTTGATAAAACCCAAAGAAAACTGGAAATGGTCCATACAAAAAGTGACACTTTATTAATATACTGAGTATCTATCTACAAACAAAATTGTTATACATTTTACTTAATGAGTATATCTTAAAACATTTTAAAGAAATGCAAAAGTTACTTTTCAAATTCTGCATAACTGAGTAGTGTATAGTGTCTTTCTGTAGTTTACATTACACGTTTTTGTACACAAAAATAACAAATTAAATGTAGATATTCAATGTTATAGTAAAATATTTTCCACACTTGTTTTAATAACTAAATCTATAAAACAAGAGTGACTTTAATCACATTACTTATCCTAGCCACCAGAGTTACATAAAATTATACTGTACAAAAAGTACTGTCCAGTTTGTCTTCAACTCAGGAGAGATCCAACAAACTGTGAATATCTCCTTCAAATTTTTCAATGTTTAGCCATATTTTTCATTAGTACCAAAAGATTTACAATATACCAAGTTATTTGTTCCACTACAATGCACATTATTAATAATGTTTATACCTGAGGATGGCTAGATAAAGTATGGTCAAACTGCACTGAATTAAAAATAATAAAACAACTAAACACAATCAAAGCTTTAATTTTCTTAACAAGCCCATTTTATAATACATTTGTTTGCATTAAATTTAACTGAGCAATAAACACATATTTTTACTTTGTAAGCTTAAACACGTAATATCAGACAAATTCCCATTATTCTTACTATATAAATTATATCCCTATAGTTGAGTTTCCAGTGAACAGTTTAAAAATTTAGAAAACAGCAATACATGAATAAAAATTTTGTATAAGATATTCAAGTTAAGTCTCAATATTTTGGATCTTTTGTATAATGTTGAATACCCCAAGAGTAAATAAAACTTGTTTGCAATTAGTAAGTAAAAAACCTTTAAACATACCACTTTATGTTTATAAATTTGGATTTTTTAATTTAGTAAAATTTAATATAATCAACACGTACTTTTGTCTACATGCAAAAAATAAACATCTAAAAGTATTGTAAAACTATACTTTCTACAGAGATCAAAATTTTCAGTTAAAATTGTACGATTTCATAATCCACAAATGCGATATAAATATCTGTGCAACACACATAATTGGGCATTACTGTACATGCAAAAATTGTTACATATACATGTTAAAAAACGTATTACATAAAATTTAAATTATATGAACAGCAGTGAAAAATTCTGTAATATCAGTAAAATATTAAACAATTGTGTAAAAATAGCTTCAGCTTATTCACACACATTTTATAGCCCACAAAAAGTGGGTATCATTCACGAGATTCCAGTGTGTACTGAATCATAATGCACCACATCCAAGATTAATTACAGTAGTTATTCATTTACTGAAGTTTGTGGAGAAACGTTTTTCTTTCTCTGAACACTCTCTGTAAAGTCCACAAAGTTTACGTATGTCTGGCTTGTACTCCAACTTATTAAAGTATTATTGTAAGTATGTACTGCAACATTACTGATGACTAGCTTTTGAGGTTTGATTTTTTTCAAGAAATTCCTTCTGGTATTCTACAACTGTCATGTCTGTAAGCCTGAAACAAGTTAATGTCAAATCTTTATCAATAATTCAGTATTAACTTTACACAGTTAGACCTGGTGTAAAATGAAATATTCAGTATAAGATTTGTTACATTCATAACTATGCAAAATAAAATAATCAAACTACACTCTAAGTAACACTATTATTGTAATAAATAACTTCAGCCTGGTACTAAAATCATCCAGGTAACTTCAGAAGATATCAGTGTCATTCTTTCACATTCTGTTAAAAAACATTTCTATTAGTGAAGATAACATTTCAATAAATGTGAAATTATAATCTTTGAGTTTTTATTGTGCAATAATGCATAACAATTAAATAAAATGTCAATACATACATTCTTTTGATGTGAAAACCTAAGATTTAGTTCATATTATTAGTAGAAGATACCGTAATCTTCCACAAATTATAGGGAGCACATGAAGAATTCATCATCTCCAAATAGTTTCTTTGGAATAATTTAAGCAGTGGATAATTAGATAAAGTATTTATCACTGAGTAATTAAGCTCAAATAATTGTGAATAAGTATTATCATCTTGTAAAGTTCAAGCTATTGATAAAAAGAGAACTGTTCAGTCTTACATTCTTCAGTGATTTTCTTTAACTAAATATTCTAAAGATAATTTGAAAAGTATAATATTTAGCTTTCTTCCTAGTGAAGTATATTTTAGAATCAACATATAGCATAAAATGTGAACTATCCAAGTTCTTTTATATATGACTATAAGGTCTACTAATTCTACAATGTTTTACATTGTGAACATCAAAAATCCTCAGAAATCTCTTATGAAAGTAAAATGTCAAGTAAATCTAAATTTAAACTATAACACTGATCTTAAATTTACTTTAAACATGCAAAAGGCTTTTTACATGACAAATACTTTCTATTAAAAGTTAGAAATACAAAAAAAAGGTTAATCCTATGTTCATGGGTTGGTCTGTTAAACTGAAGCCATGTTGAGGGATTAACGTTTACTATAATTCTAAATTTACTATGTGTATCTTCATGGCATTTGACAAGCTTTTAGTAAACATCACAAGTCTGTTGTACAAACAAAATTTAAATTTTTTAAACAATGTATTTTTAATAAAGACCTGTCTGCTTACATTTATCTGCTATTTTTCTACTCTAACACTAACTGTACCAAAATCAATTTACAATGAAATGAAAAGTTGAAAAATATAATGATCTTTGCTGCAAACTGTAAATGAATTAAGTCTCACTTTTTTCGCTAAATTACTTCTTTAAATAATAATTCTTGGATATTTCAAATATATACTTTACAATACATGTCATATATTAGGCAACAGAATACAATATCATAAAATAACTATAATCTAACTAAGCAATAAATAGGTTAAAAAATTCACTTTCCTGCCTAGAGCAGAAAATCACAATAATAAAAAATGAAACAAAGGTCAAATATCTACTTACAAGTGCCAAAACAAAATAGCCTCCAAACAAATCTACTCTTTCTATTGGTTATAAATAATCCAAAAGTAAATGTCAGAGAGAATTACTAACATTTTTCAAAATACACGATAAATGTGGCACATGAGTATCTTTTTTGATATATTCAGCAAAGCAAGGAAGTTGGAGGCTAGAAATTTATATTCTGGCTTGCCAATATGTATAGCATAAATGTGTAATTGATAAAGATCATATAAGAGTAGAAAGAAAACCTGAAATAGACAATTTTGGGCACAGATATGACACGTGATACAGAGTATTTAATTATTTCCTTTTGAATTTAAGAAATTAAAACTTTGATTTACAAACTACTTTTTGGTTCTAAGCTTGCATATAAACATCAATAGTATAGTTCTTTAGTCAAGTTTTGAATGTAACTCTGTAAAAGGTTGTTACATGCACATTTTGACCTTCCGATATACAGAGGGTTAACAAACATTATGGAAGAAATATATTTTGATTTCTCTTTTAAATTAAAAACAACAATATTACTCAAGTACCAAATTCCCTATAAAGCCAGAAAAACTGTGATGTTTCCTAGATTATCTCCTAGAACTGAAATAAGACTACAGAATCAAATGTTGTATAAACTAGTAGAAAGAAAAATTATGAAAATCAATTAGTTAAAAGATTCTATCAAAGAATTTAGTAACTCAAAGATTCATGACCATGCATTTAAATAAAATTAATTAATTTGAAATAAGCCCTAAATTTTAACCAATGAATATAATGACATTTAAAAAGACATCTTAAAATATAAATTATGAGATAGACAGCACAAGTGATGATAATTTTGGTTCACAAAAAATTTGCAAGTTCGAAGAACATGATACTTGATTGTCAAAATATTCCTGTACAAAAATTACTAAAACAGATATTAAAAAACACAAGCTAAAACCCAGAAACTCAAGATGACAAACTTCTAAAAACTTTGATGAGGCTTAATACTGAATAAAATTATTCTAAAGAAATATACAATAATGAATATATATAGAAGAGAAATTTAATACAGATACGCATAAAACACACACTAAAACACTTGTTAAACTCACCTGTAGGTTTATTTGCACATTCAATAATTTTTCTTAGACACTTTCCAAACTCTTCTAAAACACTACGTTCAACTAATAAAAATGCTTGCTCTGACCTATCTGCATCTTCACCTTGAGCTAAAAGACATTGTGTTGTAGCTTCTACAACTTCCTGTGTCACAAAAGCACATGGCAACCTATACAAGTCAAACAAAAATGTTATTTGGCTACATGATTTAACACTAACATACTTACAATACAGTAGGTAAACCAAGTAAAGTATACCTGGAAGTATTAAAATAAAAATAAAAAAATACTCATTTTTTAAACAGAAATATTCTGAATGATGCTACCATCAAGCAGAAAAATTTCATGCACTCTTGCTGAGAGACTTGGATTATGTTTCCAACTTGTCACCATATCAGCAAAAAAATTGCAGTCAATTGATAAAAATAACATGTAACAATAATTCACCTGACCTACCAACCAATCATATGTATTTCTGGTGATTGGGAAATATTTGTTTCAGGTGAAAATGTCAGTTCAAAGTCATGACTCTACACCTTTTTTTTTAATGATCAAAAAATCATTAGTTTTCTTTGCATAAATCTGCTCTTCATAGATTCACAAAAAACATTAAAAGAAAAAATATATTTTTATATAGTGTATTATAAAGATTATGGAAACTGTATAAAATGGTACAGAATGCAAATATGAGATTGCCCACCTCTCTATTGTATGAAAATGAACTGCAGCAGAGTAGAGTCACTTGTTGCTAGTTTACACTATGAGTGGTTGTCATCCACACAATCAGACAATGCTACACCAGGATAATGCATAAAGGCAGTTATACATACTATTCACTGCAGTAGGAGGATGAACAAACTTCCAGGACAGAAATGCCACATGACAAAAATGTATAAAGTGGCTGGTGAAAGCTACTCCATACAACAGATTGAAAGTAAATTTAATGTTTCAGTAGGAGCTGTATGAAAACTCTGAAGAGGGAACAGGAAACTACTACTGTTGATAATAGAAGCGTTCAATGTAGAATGTCCAAACTCTTCTACACTGGTGTCAAGTAGCTCAATGTATACTCTTTACATGATAAACATGGCAATACATATTGAAGACCTGTAAAAACTGATGGTACCCTGATTGCTGACAATTACAACAGATTCTGATCCACAATGCCATTCCCCAAGAAACAAAACCTATTGGGCAAGAATTCCTTTTCCAGCAAAAAAGTGATCCCAAATTTGCAGCAAATTTGGTAAAATAATAACTGGTAGGAAAAAAGAACACTGGTAAACCATCGCTTGGCTGGCAAAAAGACCCAGTATATCAACAACTTTAATAATATTTGCTTTATAATAACTGTAAAATAATTAACAGTTAAAGGTTAAATGTTAAACAAACAGCTTAGCTATGTTGTGGGGATTAGTAAAAAAACGTTTGGAACAGTGTTACACAATTAAATACTGGTGAACTTATGTTAGTATATATATACGAGGTGTTCTGTTTAAGGTAAACACAAAGTCCTAATGCATTGCATGACTTATCATTTTCTTCTGTATTTTTATTTACTAGTATATTGTAATAATGATAAGTTGATTATTTACGTGCAAGTACTCATTGTTTGATCCCTGTATGTGTTTCACCAGTGTGTTTTCATGATTATTTCCAATGTTGTATATTAAAGTATGAAAACATTAAGGTGCACTATCATAATAAAAGACAGATATGTGGCAGCTATTAAAGCATAACCATACATTGTTACATAAGTAGAGTTAAACTACAACAATACCTTCTATTAAATGCCTTTATAACAACATTTGCATTTATTTTAAAAAGATTATATCCTTTCACATGTTCAAACAACCCAAGTACACAAACAAATTAGCTATTTGCAAGTCTAAAATTCTATTTACCACTACTGAAAAAATACATGAAACACAAAAACTACTGCAATTACTATAATTTTTGTAAATTGTAAAACCATCCCTTATTAGTATAATTTCTATGTTTAAATTGAAAATTTATGTTTGCCTGTTGAAATTAACAATCATTTTTACATATATAGATACAAAAATATACAAGTATTCATATTATTCTAGCAAGTTTCAGGAATTTTCTAGAAATAACAAATAGCTTAATGACTTGAATCAAGGAATGGTAAATTTAGTATGTGAATTCATGATACTGGGACAATAAGAAGCAAATGGTGTATTTTCAACTTCTATCTTTTACGTACACATGGGAGTTTTAAAAAAGAACTACTGTGTTGAATTCCACAGGAACTGAGATTGAGAGAGATACAGCAGATGATTTTTATTTCCCTTAATATACTGATAGAAGGTATGAAGTGTTCTTTGTTCTCCTCCACAGAATGAGAGATAGATATCCAAGGAGAGAAATGAAAGAGATGTACCTTCTCTCTTTAGAGCTTTCCATCTAAACTAAAGATGGGTAACAAAGGTCAACTGAAATGTCATCACCCAATGGATTTTTATCACAAACTGTTGTTCTGAAATTCAACACAACAGTTGTTTTGAACAGAACAAATCCTGAATAAGATACCAGTTCACTACAAGTTTGCTGCCAAGTTTAAATCTTTACTTCCTTTGAATCTGCTTTCGTAATGCCTCTTTTAATATGTCTTGGTGTGTGAAATGCTACAGAAAAATCAAATATTTCATATATACTGTAAATTAACAACTCTGGATTTTCTATTACCTGTGTCCTTCAGCTGTGAAATTTGCTGGTCGAGTTGGAAAGTTCTCAAGCTGAAATGAAATTTTGGTTTTGGCTGCAGCTTGTTGTTGTACCCTAACCTCTGCAGCATCAGCAAGTTGCATCAACGTCTTTCTCTCAAAGTTGTCTTCAATATTCTTACATCCCACACATTTGCACAAATGTGTGCACAAAATTTTTCCCTAAAGCACATAATAATTTGGTATTTACTTTCACTCTTTCTACAGTAAAAATACATTTTGAATCATTTTTCATATGACCTATTAAGAAATGTTTTTTATATTTTCACATCCAATGCAGAAATTTAATATATATATATATATTGTTTTTACTATTTTTCCAATTTTCCCAAATAACATTATAATCAAACAATCTCTAGCTATAAAAATCTTATAAAAGCTATATTTTCAGTGCTTTAATTTAGATGTTAGTTAGAAGATGAATGATATTAAGATAAAAAAAAAGGTTGATAAAAGTAGGCCTAGAATATACTGAATGTTCTAAGTTTGATGTGAAGAATCAAGTGAATTCAGGAAGTATCGAATAATGAGGGTAGATTATAAAAACAAGAATCAGTGAAAATTTGAGTCAGTTTTGTTTTCTGCTGGTACAGTCCCAATGAAGGTTTAGGTTCATTGAAGTATTTGGATAAGTGCTAATTATAGCATACTTTCAGTTACTCAGCCAATTAGCTTTGAAATTGTAAAAGTCAATTTATTTGTACTTTACCATAATAACGAGGTATATCCATAGAAAAGTTGTTTGTAAATGCTAAACAAGAAATAAACTCATTTTTCTTATTGTTACACGAGTTGAATTATTTTCACCAAATAATTTAAAAGAAACTGCTAAACAAAAGAACAATGTTACAATTAACATAAGCTTAACCAACTTTAAGCCTAGAGTATGAACTAAACCTTCTCAAATAATTTGAAATGTTTTTGTTAAACACTTTGCCTAGATTTACAGTATTCCATAAATGAACATGTATTTGCTTTTAGATTTGTTGAGATAAATTAAATCATTTTCCATTTTCCTAAAAGGTAGGGCTATTTACAATTTACATATAAATAGTTATTCCTCAATATGTGTTAAGAATTTAAACGGTATACAATTTTATTAGCTTCTTTCTTTTTTTTTATTCTCACATTACTTACTATTGTATTAGCTACAAAAAAATATCAGGGGCAGGCTGAATTGTTTTCCATTTTATTTATTGCGGTAGTTTGAGTTTATCAAAAAAAAGTGCCTTAATCACAAACACTAGTGGGATAACCCTTTACCACAGTTGGTAGAGCTATCACCTGGTGCAAAAGATCTTGAGTTCAGTTGTGGCCAAGGAAATAATAAAATTGAAATTACCACAAAAAAAACTGTCATCTCATGGCCCTAAGAGGGTAAGAATGTTGTAGTTCGAGTTGCTAAAGAGTGCGACTTACTGGCAATTGCTAGTGGGTAAAAAGTGTGACTTACTGGCAATTGCTAGTGGGTTAAACCTTTAGCTCAGTTGGAATAGCCTGGTGTGCAAGGGGTATAAAGTCTGAATCCGAGTAGAAGAAATAATAAAATTTAAATCAGCACAATGATCACTGATGATTTATTTTTCAAAGAATGTCTAATTAAAATCATAAATAATATTCAACGTTAAACTGGTACACAGTTAAAAACA